AACTAAAACTTGCTGCCATTTGAAAACACAGTATTCTTGAATGGATCTAAAATGATTACTAGTAATATGCAAGTTTTATGAATTTCTATCGCCACATCTGTTAAAAGAATGTGCAAAACATCCAAATGATAATCAAGCACATTTGGTTATATTCAAAAACAAATAAAATGTATTTCTGCCACTTGTGCCAAACAAGGGAATTGTTAGCTACGTTAGCTTACATGAATGAATGAATGAATGATTACTGCATTTACATAAAGCCAGAAACACCGTACAATGGTACCAAAAACACAGCTAGCAAACTGAATAAATTCATGTTAGTAGAGAAAACGGTTGCATCATGCTAACAGACTTTAAGATCTCAGAAATATGTTATAACCTTCACTTAAGTACTTAATATTGATAGTGATGCTACAGAATCTTTTTGATTAGGAGGAAAATTTAGCCCATTAAATCCTATGACAGGATTGACATTATTATCCCGTAAGATGAGACTCCAGTATTGAAATGGGTATCTAGTGAGCTATGAACAAAGTCCCTCAAATAACTTGTTCTGCTAACCAGCTGTCTTACTGTGGAGTCAAGGGAGCAATGATGCAGTTAAGCTTGAAAAAATATTTCCATTCTAACTCTAAATTTGGATTCCCACTTTACTCTCTTTCTCTCTACTCACTCAATACATTTAGTTTGAAACTTCTCAGGTTTTAGTATCTTAGGCCACATTATAATTTTTGGGTGCGAAGAATCTGAATTTGGTTAATCAGTTTTTGAGTTAGGAAACTTTGAAAACTACAAGGTTTTTCTTCTAGGGAAAATTGTTCTTGCCATTTCTATAGTATGTCTCTTCAAATAAAAGCAATCTTGCTTTACCAACTTCAAATTTGTTCTATGCATCGATGTTTGACGAAGACTTGTGTATATTGCTGATTTTGCTATTCTTCAAAAGTCAGGGCATTAGTGTTATCAGGACACTAGTCATTTCTCCCTCCAGTCTGGTCAGTAGTACCAACAGTATTCAGGTACAGATCTCATTAATTCCAAAATATCCAGGCAGTATTTTCAATTGAGACTGTAATGACAAAACCCTTGTGAATGCCACATTTATGAAATTCAGACATCACAATAATTTATACTTTACAATTTTCATCCACTTATGCCAACATACCCTATGAAACTTGTAAACCTTACAACTAACCACAGTGAAAAAATAGAGGGATCACTAAAGATAAAGAAAAAATATAGTGGCTTGGGCCACTATGAAAACTCCCTGTGTGCTTGGTTCCTGTCCTAGCTCACAGTCCACTTCTGCTTCCAGTTTGAGGACTTGATTCCGATATTAATTCTGGCTACGTTAAAGACTGCATCTCCGTCTATTTGCAAATCTCAAAACCCAGAACACAGCACATTACAGCCAAACATAGCGCATTCTGAATCAGATCCAGCTATGGAACAAACTTATTAGACTAATCCAGAGAGTCTGGACATCCTGGGGTCATGCTACAAAACAATCCTCTTTGATGGATCTTTCCTACCATAAGCAGAATGGTATTTACAACAAACACCAGCACTTCCTCAGGAAAACCCTACCCAACTTAGGCAGAGAGAAGAGCCAAAGACTCCACAAAGCTCACTAGGGACGCACCTATGCCAATCTATTAACTCAGGTGTTATGGTAATGGGCACTAATACAAAACCCTTAGATAAATAATAAGAATATATTTTAGTTATGTTTCCAACATCAATCATGCCTATAATTTGCCCACTCTTCATTTACACACCACACCAGATCTATTCATTAATCCATCGTCCTCTTCCACTTTTGCCTAAGAATTCTGTTTCCATAACTTGCTAACCATCGCTCACATTTATGGTATGGGCCTGAAACAAGCATCTTTCAATTCACCCTCCATTTTCATTCCAAAGACATTATCTTTCTCCTTACCATATTCCTGGATCACTTTAACATGTACTTACTCTTGAAATCTAGAACCCCTTCAATTTGCCCAGAATCAGACCAAACAACCACTTGAATGCAATGCTACCCACACGTATGGGCCAGAGATTCTATAGTACCCCATAAAATAGTCATATTGAACTAAAACTCACTTGGTATGGTATATTTATCTTAATTTCTAGTTTAAGCACCTATTCACAGCTCTAAGTGCTTTTATACACTTACATTATATAACCACTATAATAATATATTCACCATATACAATATAATAGAGCTCTGCACAAAATATGACAACCACATTTCTAGGCCTAAAATGACCTTACATTTGACTTCTCAATAGAGCTGTTGGGAGGATGACAATTCCATTTTGTGGCAACTTTTGAGTTTTTGAAGTTTGTTTTTGTTCCACTGTATTACAACATATATTCCAAACAAGAGAGTTTCAGTTATAATTTCTCTGCGTGCACCTGTGTGCATGTCACCGTAAATAATAGTGCAGAATGGAATGGAATTAAGAAACACAGTCCGAAATGGAGAAACAAAACAAAAAAATTACTTTTGTGACTCCACTTGAAAAGAGAAATGCGATCTACGGGTTTGACCACAGGACTTCCTTCCACACTGAGAGACATGGGCTGGGGAGGGAAAGACTCTCAGTGCCCGTTCTTTTCTCGCGTCAAATCAAAGAGCACCGGGGAGGAGGGCGGAGACTAGGACAGCAGTCTACTAAAATTGGTTTTGCTGGGGTGCAGGAGAGAACTTAGGTTGCTTCAGGCTGTGAAGTTGGTCTTTAAACTTCCAAGCAGCTGCACACCCCTGCTTTTCCTACTAGTCCCACCACTATCAAACCATTGTGAAGAAGAACAGACAGATGTGTTTCTTCCTTTTCCCTCTTCAATTCTTAGGGCTGCAGCGGTTGTGGAGCCAGTGCCTTTGCTCTGGCAGCCTCTGTTGACAACCACCCAAGCAATTTCCAACAGGATGTAGAGCTCCTGGAGTGCCACAAAAGAAATTAAGTAACTATTTTTAAACTATTTTAATAAAATATACCATGACTGATATAGCATATTAATATGGTCATATGCCACGATTCATTTTTACACCAGGTGAGGTCCAGAAGTTCCATCCACCCTTTCTAATCAGAAAAGGTCAGGCATATAATCATAGAATATCAGGGTTGGAAGGGACCTCAGGAGGTCATCTAGTCCAATCCCCTGCTCAAAGCAGGACCAATCCCCAGACAGATTTTTTACCCCAATTCCCTAAATGGCCCCCTCAAGGATTGAACTCATAACCCTGGGTTTAGCAGGCCAATGCTCAAACCACTGAGCTATCTCACCCCCTTATTAAAATCAGATGCTACACTGGAGCTCTGGAGAGTACTAAATGTTATATTTACTTTTGTAAAAAAGCATTCAAGGTGACCTTGGGAATTATAGGCCAGTGAGAACCTTACGTTAGTATCAGAAAAACTGGTTGAACTAAAAGAAATTATACAATATCTATAAGGAATATGATATGATAACCAGCATGGCTTCTGTAAAGGAAAAAAGAAACTCGCTAGCATATTATGTTCTTTGAGTATGCCAACAAAGCAGTGGAGAACTGGATGATGTAATTTTTTTTTTTATTTTTAAAAGCCCCTGACAAAAATCATGTACTACAGACTAACAAGGAAACTAAGCAGTCGTGGTTTAAGAGGTGAAATACTATAATGGATTAGAAATTGGCTGAGACAGAAAACAAAGAACACCGTAGGAATAATGGTCAATTATCAAAAAAGCAAAAAGATAACAATGGGATACCTCAAGCTTCCATTCTAAAACATGTAAAGGGAGGCAAATGGAGGGTAATTTTCCAGATAAAATAAAATTATTTAGGTTAGCCAAGTCAAAACAGATCAGTGAAGACCACTCTTCAATTTTCAGCTGCAGTCAGAAAAGCATGCAAAATGTTAGGTTGTATAAAGAATGGGACAAAAAAGAGTGACGTTATATCAATGGTAGGACCTCAGCTGGAATACCAGGTTCAATTCCAAACATCCTAGTCTCAACAGATATAAAAGAAATGGGGAAGTTCAAAGACAGGCAATGAAAACAGATGAAGACATGGAAAGAATTCATTATTATTATTATTTATTTGTATTCCAGTATTGCTATAGAGGCCCCATACAAGATCTATGAAGGGATATTAGAAAGACCAAGACAGTTCAGTTCAAAGAGGAGAGGAACAACAGGAAATACGCTAGAGGTATTACAAAAAACGTATTTTCAGAGAAGTTAAATCAGGTGTTCCTATTTACTCGGTCAAATACTACAAGAACAAGGAAATGTTCAATTAAATTAAAGGCAACAAATTTAAAACTGATAAAAGAAAATACTTTTCTATACAACACATGATTTAGAGACATAACAAAAATATCCACAGTTATATTTAATAGAATAAAATAAATTAGGGATATAAACCTTCACATTTCAAGGCACAGGCCAAGCACTGAGTGGCAGGCTTAGGAAGAAACTTTCCCTATATGCAGCTTATTGGGGGGGAATAGCTCAGTGGTTTGAGCATTGGCCTGCTAAACCCAGGGTTGTGAGTTCAATTCTTGAGGGGGCCACTTAGGGATCTGGGGCAAAATCAGTATTTGGTCCTACTAGTGAAGGCAGGGGGCTGGACTTGATGACCTTTCAGGGTCCCTTCCAGTTCTATGAGATAGGTATATCTCCATATTTATCCTTTGAAGCGTCTGGTATCAGCCACTGTCAGAGAAAAAGATACTGGTCTAGATGGACCACTAATCTGATTCTGTATGACAATTTCTAAATTCCTATTGTTATTAGAACCTTCTTATGTGTGCTGTGGCAAAACAGAAATTGACAGATTTACAATGTTCACAATTTAACATAACATGAAGATCACACTTTTACCACTTAATTACCTATCCTAAGTTTTCTACGGGCCTCAGATCTTATGAAAAAATAAAGCTGTGCTCAGCAAGCATTATGATTCATAAAGCGCAGGCTAATTCTAAGATAAAGAGTTACTTTACCTGGATTTCATAAGAGGTTGTGTCACCCATTTCTTTAGTTTCCGACGTCCAAAGGAAGTTTTGGTATGATCCAAGACCCACAATAGGCTGCCTTTTGTTTTCATATCAGTCTATGGTAAAAGTAGCAAGACTGTTTTTTATTAATTGAATAATTGCACATATACCTTAAATAATTACACCAATCCAAGTATTAAATAAAATGCATTTCGTTTAGTTTTACAAATACTAGAATTAAACAAGGGCCATTTGTATGCAAAAGTGTTATGTAAAATATCTTCAACAATGAGTCAGAAGATATTTAAGATTATTTTTTCCCTCTTTTAGCAAGCATGCTTTCTCACAAGACTACCTCACAAAATGATAGAGATGAATTCAACAAATTAAATGAGGTTTGTAAGCATGAGCCACTGAAATGGAGGCAGTGGGAAAAAAAATTCCCCACACTAAAATGACTGGAATGAAGTTGCTCAAGAGCTTCCAGACTCAGGAGGAGATTTTCAAAGGCACCTGTGGCAGTGGGATCCTTAACTCCCATTAGAAAATCAATGGAAGTTGAGGCCTAACTGCCATTTGTGGCTCTGAAAATTCTCTCCCTTTACAATCTGTTCCTATTTAAAAGCATTTAAAGTTTCTGGGTGAGATTTTCAAATGGGCATAAGGGATTTAGATGCACAACTTCCATTAATTTCGTTGGGATTAGTGCAGTTAAATTCTATAGACAGCTTGGAAAATGTCAGACTCTATCAATAAATTATTACATTTTCCTCACCTGATTCTGTAAGATTTCCAGATTTTTCAGTGTTGTCCCATTAATTGTCATGTATTCAGCTTCACTTGATAACTGTTTAAAGTTACTGGGAAAAAACATTTCAGACGTCATATTGCCAGTGCAGAAAGAGACATCAGTGAAACACAAACATCTTAAATCAAACATTGGCTGTGTGGTGCAAAATCAAGTAAAAATGGAAATCAAATCAAATAAACTACACTAATAAAATAACTACACATAAATATATTTCAACTAAGGATCTCAATCATGTGACTGACAGGGAAAATAAGGCACAGAGCATCTGAGCAACTAATCCAAGGTCGCACAATGATCTAACAACATAGCTCAAAATAAAACCCAGTTCTCAGATTCCTAGTCCAGCACACTAGCCACCCCTCCCATCTGTAGGCCAGCAGGAAAATGAATGACATGTATTCTTTTACCGGTGTCCAGGGAAGTTTCTATGATGTTTCAATAGAAGAACAAATTTCAGTTTATTTCCCACTATCTAAACAGCATGTGCAATACAGATAACACAGATGTCCTGAGTTCTGAGTTCTAAGAATAGATTTGATCATAATCTGCCATCACAATTATTTAGGGGAAAACAAACATCAGGATATGTTTAATGATTCCATCCTACTTTTAGTATGATGTTACCATGACCAAAATGATATTGCTTTGACTTCTTGACATATTACTCAGCAGAACAGACTAACAGGTTTCTAATGTTTGTACAGCAATTAAAAGCAACTCACAGAATGAAGCCCATCTTAAAAAGTTATCAAGTAAGATATGAAAGTAATTCCTTATACTCAGACACAGGTGTGTGGTGGTCGGGACAGAAAAGGGAGCGCAAAATATTCACTAACATGTTTTGACAAATGAAGTCATGATTGTCTAGCTTAATAATACTGTTGACTGCTCCTTGTACAAAATCTAGGGCACTCTTAGTTTGGAGAGAATGACTTTTCAGATAGGATTTACAAAATACACCTCTATCCCAATATAACGCGACCCGATATAACATGAATTCGGGTAAAGCAGCACTCCGGGGGGGGGCGGGGCTGCGCACTCTGGCGGAGCAAAGCAAGTTTGATATAACGCGGTTTCACCTATAACGCGGTAAGATTTTTTGGCTCCCGAGGACAGCGTTATATCGGGGTGGAGGTGTAAATCTCTCCCTCCCATTAGACTGTAAGCTCTTTTGGGCAGGAACTGTGTTTTCTAACGTGTCTATAAAATGCATACCTTCATGTTAATGCCACTGAATAAAATAATTATTACTAATAATCATTATTCTGGATTACAATGCCTTTTCATTGGTAAAGTCAGATAAAGTCAAATACCAAAACAATCTCATATGCAAAACAACTGCATCTTCCAAAATATACAATATTATGAGCAGCAAAACAATCAGAATCATAGAAGATTATGGTTGGAAGAGACCTCAGGTGGTCATCTAGTCCAACCCCCTGCTCACAACAGGACCAACCCCAACTAAATCTAAATGCTATTCTTTTATTATGTTCAACCACAAGCGGTTGCTATTAGCAAAGCATTAAGTAGGAGTTCTCTTCATTTGGTTCTGAGTATCTTTATCCAAACCTGAGTCCTACTAAACTTTTCAAAAACATCGCACCACATCTTCTTAAGATCCAGTAGGTGAATAACCGACAAACAGAATTTTATTTCCATTTGATGTGTTCAGATTTGTCATAGTATGCTGTTCAACTCTGTCACCACTCAAGCACATCTGTTCAGGGACTCTGTCTCTTTACCTGTTCCTTAAAGCATAAAGGATGCATTTGGATATTACATAAATAAATTTATAAATAAACAGTTGTAATACTTTGCTCTCATTTTGGTTGCTGGGCTTAGTGTGTGGGTGCTGGGGGGTTGATGTTGGTGGCCTGTGACACACAGGAGGTCAAACTAGGTGACCTGGTGATCCCTTCTGTCCTTAAACTCTGACTGTAAATACAAAATATGTCCAGCAAGCAGTAACAGCAAGTTCCAGAACTAACATAAATGAAAGTACCCTGCCTCCATTTCCTGAAGCTTAGATCAAATGTAAGACAAAGAGTCTCCAGACCAGGGAAGCGCCATATCACTCAGTGGCAAGGTTCAAAAGTGAGCCCTCAGAGATGCAGGCACTGGGGAGAACATGCTAGGTTTGCTTCTTGATGGTACCATGCAAGGTACTGGACAAACTGAAGCAGGCTGCAGTACCAGCGATTGAACCACACTCAAAGGCTGTGACACCAGCACCAGATGAGTGAACTCCTGCACCACCAGGAAATCTGGCACTGAAAGGCACAAAGATCTTGCACCGTTGCGTACGCCTCCATTGTCATTGGTACCAAGAGGGTCCCCTGATGCTGCTGTTGTTGCATCAAAGGGTGCAGTACCAGGGGCTGAGATGATACCCCAGCAGCAGTCTGTCTCAACGGCACCAGCCTGGGTGCTGGAGTTGACGAGCCAGCATGAGGTGATATCAGCTCTGCGGAGCACCTCCTCTCCGAGGATCAGTTATCCCATTTTCCCTCATGCTTGCTGGTTGACAGTGCCGAAGAGCTCAATCGTTTGGATGAGTCCTTGGAACCCCTTTGCCGGTGTTTCTTTTTTGGCACCAGGGAAGCAGAGACACGCCATGAATTGGCAATGACTGGAGCAGTACTCCTAACCGAAGTTGATGAACTCAATACCCATTCCAAGCGGGAAGGCTCTGAAGGCAGACGCAGGGTGCCATGACAAGGTGAGGAAGTCTCATCTCTATCCTTTATTGTTCTGGACTTAAAGTCCCTGCAGATCTGGTGCCTGTCACAGACACAACCCTCGCTGAGGCACGTTAAACACCAAGAATGAGGGTCAGTCATCGGCTGGGATTTTCTGCAGTCACTGCAAGACGTAAAGCCTGGAGACCAAAGCATTCCCTGGTACCAGGCATCAGTACCCAGAACAACTAGGAACTGGCTGAACTACCAACCATATTAACTAAATTATGCAAGATCAGAAAAATACAAAATAAATACTAGGGCTGTCAATTAATCGCAGTTAATGCATGCAATTAATGCAAAACAAATTAACTAGATTAAAAAAAGTCATGAGTAATCGCAGTTTTAATCACACTGTTAAACAACAACAGAATACCAATTTAAATGTATTATAAATATTTTTGGATGTTTTTCTACATTTTCAAAAATACTGATTTCTATTACAACACAGAATACAAAGTGTACAGTGCTCACTTTATATTATTTTTTTTATTACAAATATTTGCACTATAAAAAAGATAAACAAAAGAAATAGTATTTTTCTTTAAGGTTATGAAGCCTGTTGTCCCTTTTCTCTGAAAACAATTAGGGACCTTTGAAAGCAAAGTCCTGGATAGTCTGTTGGACTCTAGGGGGTGCCCAGATGACAACAACCACGAACACCTTCTCATAGTAACAGCTGATGCCATGGTTCAAGCAGCTGAATCTGCATTGTCCAAACTGTTCTGGAAAGTGGTCCTACTGACCAGCTTACTATCTACCACCATGACTGCAAACTCCTACCTACAGTTCTCTGGTAACTTGTCTTGAAATTTTATAACACTCCCCAAGAGAGTGAAGTCACAACGACTCAGGAGTGCCTGTTGGTTTGCATTTCTGAGTTGCGGACTTCCTGAGGAATAGTTTGTCCAGCATGTTGTCCTTGTCTCTCCCACTCATTGGCAGCTGCCACCACAAGAGAACCCGGGTGGGTGGGAGTGGGAGCAGAAATGTTCAAATCTCTGCAAGGGGACAAAGTATCTCCTCTCAGTTTGTTTTGTGATGGAAGGCAAAAAGGTGGGTGTCTACCAAAGAGCCTTAACTGATTCCATAATGGCTCCATAAAAATCAGAAAAGCTACCCTGGCTGGGGTTGCCAATACCAGAATATCTACCAACTTGTGAGCACTTTCATTCACCTCCTCAGTCTCAGTGTCAAGTACAGAAGCCACCCTTCTCACAAGATCTTGATAAGCCCTGTGGTCCTCTGGTGGTGAGTCAGTTGTTGGCTCATAATAGCCTCATCTGGTGATGAGGTATAGGAAACAGCATGCATCTAGGGTGGTGGCTGATATTTGACTTGCAGTGAAGAAGCTGCCTGGGTGACTTCTATCTGCTCGGTACCAGTGAATGATGCACTCGGTGCCAATGTTTTTGGTGTGCTCTCCATGACAGTGAGCAATACAGCATGGGGGAGCGGGGTCCTAGCTGGAGGGAGAATGCCCCCATTGCATCCAGAACAGCCGGTGATATGCACCTGGAACCCATCCTTGCCTGGGCCATTGATCTTTAGAGGGAGGTTGCTGCATGGCGCATGGTCCCAAAGTCTCTGATGAGAGGGTATGTTACCCATCCTGGATGGGATACAGATGACCTCACCTCCAAGACCAAAGAAGAGTGGGATACTTCTGACAATGGAGTGGCAAATCCAGATGGGTCTGGTGAGAGGTAGCGCGAGCCCAGGGATGGTGGTACCAGAAAAATCACTGGAGGTTTTCCTCTCGAGAGCGCAGGCTTTTGCATAAGCTTGGGTAGCAGTACCGCAGGATCTTGACATAGTGAGGCATCAGCAGGAGGTACTGGTACCATCCTTGGGCCTTCTACTGCTGGTGATACCGGTATGGAGAGACTAAGCAGGTCCCTTGTGGCTGCATAGCATAGCAAAGCAAATTAAGGGGATATAGCTATTCAACGGTCCAGATTATATCCCGGAAAATGTCACACAGGGGTTGACTGAATGTTGCCTGCAAGACAAGGTTAAGACTCACAGTCTCGAGGAGTTTGCTGGTGAGGTGGATAGACTGGTGTGGCAGGAAGCAAGCTCTCTTCTTGAGGCAGAGATAACAGTGTCCTATAGTTCTGCACTCCCCGAGACAGCATCACATAAGCCCCATGCCATGCTTACTTCTCAGAAACATCATATTATAGGTATGATAAAGACATGTACCGATCTAAGCTTGAGTAATGTGGGACCCAAATTCCAGGGGCAGTTTTGTGTTTAATCAACCTGACTCTTGAGCTCAACAGTGAAGAGTGGCACAAGGCTAGCAACCCTGATGTGGATGGGGACTAGGTACAGGAGTCCAGGGATTCCCAGAATATAACGGTAAGTCCGACAGCCAGGCCCTGAAGCTTTGAGAATCAGGGTTGTGTAGAACTGACGGGAACAGGATAACCGCTCTCTGATTTATCCTGAATTAGTACAGGACTCTCAAAGTGACAGAGGAAGGATGATACCTCAGTTCACCCCATCCAATTGCCTTTACTGCTATAAGACAGCAACAAAAAGAGTTCTGTGGCACCTTATAGACTAACAGATGTATTGGAGCATAAGCTAATGTGACTGAATACCCACTTTGTCTGACGAAGTGGGTATTCACCCACGAAAGCTTATGTTCCAATACATCTGTTAGTCTATAAGGTGCCACAGGACTCTTTGTTGCTTTTTACAGATTCAGACTAACACGACTACCCCTCTGATACTTGCTGTAAGACAGTAACTCTGTAGTTAAATCAGGAAAGCAAAAAGGGAAGGCTCCTAAGTACAGCCAGAACATGGGGAAATGGAGCTCAGAGATAGGAGCAGATCACACTAGGGCAGATGTTGTAACAGCACCCTAGGAATAAAAGACACGACTGAAGGAGAACATCCCACCATCAGTCTTGGCTATTGACTGGTTCTCTCCTTCAGGGATTCTATCTACTTGTGAGCGCTACCTACATGGTATCTGACCCACCCCCATCACTGTAGTAATATGGTAATATCCAAACAGGCTAAATGATTACGCTGCATAGAGAACTTCTCCCATATAAGGGCAAGCACCTTCTATCCCTCATCTTCACTCCACTAATCTCTTATTCTCTTTCATTTACTTTCTTCATTCTTCTATTTGCCAGAACACACCACTTCGGAGAGGCAGACTGGACAGAATAGATGCACAAAAGTTCTAGGCTGAGAATGAAAAGAAAAAGGAGGAGAGAGGACAAAGTTAGTCCTAAAAAGGGCTAAAAAAATGACTACTTTGTGTACTGCTTTCTGGCAGCTAGAGTCATTCAGCATATAAGTGTAATGCTGTCCACAAAATGGAAAAGAGGAAAGATATAAAGGAAAAGGGAGCACAATGCAGATCTTGCTGAGTAACTAACAATGAAATTCACCCTCTCTGTACAGAAGGTGTGCAGCATAAGGTGCATGCCCCATATAAACCCTATTCTAAGAGCTTAAGTGGTACTTTACGTCATGCATAGACTTTGTACTGGGGGGTGAATTTCACCGGATAAAATTCTTGTTCAGTTATTCTGAAGTTTTCCTCCTTAAAACTCTTCTTTTTTAGTTTATGAAAGTTTTGAGATGGTATCCACAATGCATACACATGAAATATTTCTGACTGCAGATCCTGAAAGTTGCATCATTTACTGGCCACTGGTCCCCACTGTACTCTCTAAATTACTCAAACAGGACATTTTTCTGGAAGTTGGTTAATTCCTTTCAAATAACTGACACCAAACTCTAGGAAACGGTGCTCTAAGAGCTAACCAATACGAAGATTACAACCAGCATGCTCTTTGTCTGTTGAAAGTACTAAAGAGGTTTTCAAATGCGCCAATGGGAATTAGGCACCCAACTCCCACTGATTTTCAATTAAAATTCTGTGCCTAACTGCCCTTTGTGCCTCAGAAAATCTCCTGCTAGATGTTATTCACCCTTTTGATAGAAATCACACAGAAATAAAGGGTCATCTAGTCTTACAATATTATAATTAGAATATGCCTCTGTAATAGAGATGTTTCCTTATTCACTGTTGTATTTAAAAGCCTCTCCTGAAGAGTAATAACAAATCTGGAGTACTTCACGCAAGAGAAATCACCTCATTACTTATGTGGGAAAAAACTATCCTGAAAACTAGTTCCATGATTCTCTAAGCAGTCAAAACTGATGTTTAGCAGTTTGCAGGAGCTCTTCATAACTCAAAGGAATGTTTCCTTTGTCTAAGCCTGCTTCCATTAAATCTATAAACTTCTTAGACTGAAAGTTGTATCTCACAGCACACATCATGCTCACTGAGTCATCAGTAGATGCTCATTGACCTAAATTCTCTCAGCAACTTTAAGTTGTCTGTCAGTGTGGCAGAAGCATTTATTTTATCTGCTTCATGTAGAATTGCAGAAAATAACAATCTGATACCCGCTGCATAAAATGCATTCCCTTTCCAGAAATTAACCTTATAGACTATTTTACTGACATCTTTAATGTTTATTTTTAATATGACTGAAGTTGTAGTTGGCCCAATATTTCTATATGTAACATGTTACTGACAATGAGCAGAGCCCCAGGAAACAAGTAGCTACTAGAAAGGGAGTCCCCATATCAGATAGTCAAGGTAGTATCGGTGACCGGCATCACTTCTTTCAACGAAGTATAACAGAAGACAAGTTTCTTAGTACAATATCACCAATTACCTCAACACTATGCATTTTCTTTGTAGTGTAACTCTAGGATATCAGGAAATCTTTAAACTTTCCATTCAGGTGCTTTCTTTGTTCATACATTCAGGTCAGGCCTGTTATGTCAAGATTCACCTATTACATTAATCCTTTTCCTTCCCATTCTGTAATTATACTCAATTTGGAACTTGCAGCTAGTGCAGAATGTGGCAGCCCACTTGTTAAGCAAGGTCTAACACTGAGAGTACATTGCACCTGTACTACTGAATGATTTCCAGGTGAAATTTAAGGTGTTTAAAGTCCTAATAGGTTTTGGGTCCACTGAGAGAACATCTGCCTTTGTGTGTGTTATTGCAGCAGTGGAAATCATCCAAGGCACTTGAGCCAACACCGTCCATGGCAATACAACACTTTCAAGAATGATAGGTCCTTGACTTTAGAACTCACTCTGCTCCTTTGTTTATGAGTACTCATATTTGGTGATCTTCTGCACACAACAAGATGGACCTACCTGTTCAACAGGCTTTTTTCAGGTAAATCTGATTTGTGGGATGGACTGGAGTGCTGTGACTAAGATGCTGCTTGAGGGATTTGGCATGTTGGTATGGGAGATGATATTTAGAGTTGGGGAGGTATCATAAGGCTTTTTTTTTCTCATCAGATCTACAAGGCTTGCTGAGTGTTCCGTTGTTAATATTTTGTATATTTTTTTGGATGGAGGAAAAAGGGGGGCTTTGTAGGAGCAAACCAAATCCAAATAAACCAAAAATGCAAATATGTTATTCTACACCATGTATATTTTATAAGCGTAAGCAGTTTAGAATCAACCCAATATTAGAAAAATGTTAGAGATTGACAAGCCCAAATATCATCTCTTCTAAAACTCAGATTTTAAAAATTCTCTGTAATGCATAAAAATTCTAAGTTTTCCAAACAAGGTCTGCAATAGTGAAAAGGACATTTGTCAGCTGCGAAATCTACCAACTAAACCTAAGTATTCTTTTGGTTTATTGTCACGCCCACTATTGCTGTCCACCTGCCCACATTATTTTTACAAGACAGTGAGGTAGTGAAACTAGATTTTTGTAAGAGAACAAAGCTGTTTCATGGCGTGTAGGAAGCTCCAGGAGGAAGGGGGAGGAGCAGGGATGGGGCACGCTCCGGGAAAGAGGCAGGATGGGGCAGAGGCGGGGCAGGGGTGGGGACTTGGGGGAAAAGGTGGAATGGGGGCAGGACCTGGAGTGGAGGTTGAGCATCCCCCAACTAGAGGGGAAGTCAGTGCCTATGCATTTAATGTCTTTCCCATAAACTTATTACATGGTAGTTTACCCACCAATATGGTACCACCCACTAAACTCCCTGGATTTGTCAATGTGTTTTAAATTTTTAAATAGGTGACTAGATTCACAGACTCAAAAAGCTCATAAACATTTGGATACATTAAATACACATGTGCTTCAAAAGCTAAAGAGAAAGTGCGTGAAATATTTTTGCAGGAAAATAAAATATCGGTGAGGCTCATCGTCATAAAAAATCTTTAAAATGCAGCAGCAGACTTTTGTCCACGAAACAAAACAGAAGTAAAGTTGAGATAAGATGTCTGGGCTTTATTAACAAACTTTTTCATTTCCCATGACAGTATCAGTTTCTGCAGCTTGTTTGTTTTTAATTACATTTGGCTGTAGTACAAGCCAATTTAAATATTGTTAGTACTGACTACAAGCGTATTCTTTCCTATTTTCTAATGATTTTTATTGAATATCACTTGATGTTTTGTTAGTGTTAATTAGGAACTCAACTGTAGAACATCATGTTTACAAAGACCAGGTTTATCCCAGAAGCAGGTGCAGTAATTTTGTAGAAGGGAAGTTGCCAGCTAGAATTCACAAAATGGCAGATGGTTAAGGCCCTACTTCATTCGCAATATTGCGGAAATTGTAGATCCTGCAATATTAGGCTTCAACCACAATTCTGATTTTAATTAGCTTACTTTGCACACTTCACAATTTTGCATACATTTTGAGTATGCAATTAGTACTGCACTAACATTCAATGCCTGTAAAATGTAAAAGGCTAAAGTGACTGGACTTGATTTCTACAGTAATTGTGTTAAGACTTTTAGTCTTCTGAATTTTAATATTGTACTTTTTTTTAATTAACATCATATAGTTGCAGCAAAATGTCTGACTATCAAAAACATTAGCGAGCATAACATAATACTTGAGTGTTTTTCTTAAACAAATAGGTTTACTCTGGCTTTTCCAAATTACTGCTATTAATAAAGGTCCATTATTACTTTTCCGCAATTTTCCATGTCTTGTCTGCAACTCAGCCATAATTATTTGAAGATCATCCCGCGATTCAAGTAGGGCCTTACAGTTGGCACATTTTTATCATTATTTTGATTTTCTGAGATTTATATAAAATAACTTACCTCGGGTTGTAAAGTATCTTTTCCAAATTAAATTCTTTGAGGTACATAATTACTGCTGCCAAAGAGCAAATCACAGGCTTATCCAAGTTTAGGATTATAGACAGTTGAGAACCTGCAAAAATATGATTTCCTTTGTTAAATGATTGCCACTAAAAATTGAGACATGATTATCTATTTTTCAATTCAGTCAAGTACAAATAGAAGCTTTTATTGTGAAAGCGTTAAAAATATTGTTTATAAAACAACAAAAATGAACTTTTAAAATAACATTTACAAACTGGGACAGATCAGTTTATGAATTTCTGTGTTGTTCCAATGCAAATGGGGATATAAAATACTGGACTTTGCACTCAGTTCCCCCCACTCTCCCCTAGAAATTGCTGATTATCAGTCCAGATGATTTATAAATTTACAGACTAAGGCCTTGATCCTGCAATCTGATACATGAAGGTGGCACTGGCTCTGCACGGGTGCACATGATTGCCCATGCAGATCAGGACCTGTTTTGTAAAGTTGCTTTATGAAAGTAGAATTTTGCTTTTGCCTATTACTCTCTACTATAACCTCCACCCCAATACCAACAGTATCAAATTTTGCAATAAAATACAGCTCAACATAAAAAGGACTTTTACCAGACTTTACTGCAGAGAAACTGAAACAAGCATAAGTGTGCTTTTTAAACTGTTTCTTATTAGCAGAGTGTTAATTAAGAAACATTTTCATAGGTTTTTGCCAAATTTTCTTCACTTTTTACACAATGTGCGAATTTAAGTTTTCAAAGTAAGTATCTTCAGATTGGGAAAAATATTAAGAATTCTTTACTACTAGCCTACTGCTCACTTCTCCAGATCACATCATCATTCTTGAAATTTGTGAAATTCCACATCTACTCTCATTCTTCTCCAATTTAGTCAGAGACATAATAGAGGTAACTTCTCAGAAATATCTACAGTACTACATAGTCTTTACATTTCTGCCTTTTTCCAGCTACTTTACTTGTTTTGCAACTATGTACCAGTTCAGAGGGTAGTTATTATTAAATATTTGTATTAGTCAGACCTAGCGGTCCAAGCTCCATTGTACTAGCCTGTATTTGTCTATATCGCAACTAACCAGCACTATAAATTTCAAAGACTTTCTGAATGAAGTACCTGTGGTATCAAGCACTCCTCTTGCATAAAAATCAGTAATCAGCTGGAAAGCATGGCTGTATTCAAAATAAATGCTTTTCATCCTTTCTATTCGAATTCTGTCATCTCGTAAACTGGAATGAAAAAAATAATGCTCATTAGTTTTCAATTTTTAATCTCCTTTTACGAACTAAAGAAGGCTCAGACTTCAACTCACTATTTTTCTCCTCTTTCCTCTCTTTTTATTGCTAAGAAGCCAGGGGATAGTAAATGAAGACATCAGTTACGGCATCTAATCTAAGAGGGATTCTAAAACAATTTTAACTTTTTTTTTAAATTAAAAACCTGCCTTCTCTCCATAAAACACTCTGTATGACTAAAGTTATACTCCCAAAAGTGATTACCTAAAAATGGCACCTTCCTACTCACCAGATCAGTTTCCTGAGTGTTTTCAGAACTCTCTCTTCTGATTTTAGTGATGAAACCAATTTTTACAACTCAGAATTGTAAAAACTCTCACAGTCAACACAGTTAAGAGGGAAGGAGCTGATATCTTCCTGGCTAAGGGCTTCTCTACACATGAAACTTCATGTGGAATAAGGTAGGGTGTGAATTTCAAGCAGATTACTATTCCTGACTAACTACATTTGTCAACGCTTTTATTTCAGAATAAGAATCCCTTATTCTGAATTAGCTTAATCCACAATTAAACTACCAGTAATTTGGAATAAACCACCCTTATTCTGGAATAAGAGCATCCACACAAAATCAGGAATAGTTCATCGGGAATGGCTGTTGTGGAATAACTCCTTGTGACACTGTGTACAAATCGTACACCAGGCAAGAAGGGGTTAAAGAGCAGTTTCAGGTTTAGGCAGCCCTGCCACACCTGCAACGCATATCAGTCTTGGAGAAGGAGCCTTAAAAAGGGAGAAGCCCATTTCAGTGGGACCCATCCCTGGGAGATGGACAGATCTCTCCCCATAGTTCCCAGGAAGGAGCACTGTGGAGAATGAAGCTGGCAGAGAGTTCCTACATGATAGACCTGAGGACATTGAGCTAGCCTACAGCTCATTGGGTATCTCCCAAAAGGAGGGAGGCCACTCTCCCCCAACATATTTCTGTTTTGTCCACCTGTTCATTTCTGACTGACAACTATCTGGGGAAGGGAGCATCATCTTTATTTGTCTGCACCACACCCAACACAATGGGATCTTGATACTTCAGTGGAGTTCCTAGATGTTACAGTACTATATAATACATACAATAGGAATGGAATGTTTTTCAGACTGATAGGAGGGCCCTTTTTTTGTGTATGGGTCCCAAATATTAAAAGATGGAGAGGTTACTCATCTTGTCCAGCAACTGGAGTTCTGCAAGATGTCTCTCTCTGTGGGGGCTCCACTTCAAGCATGCCTGCCCCCTGCACCACTGATCAGAGATTTCTGGTGTTGGTGCCCATTCAGCCCCGTGCATGTGCCCCACACATCCTCATGTCCGTGTTAAGACTATGTTGGGCTGCATGGGCGAACGACTCTCAGTTCCTTCCCCACCACAAAATCCCACCAAGGGAGACTCCAAAGCAGAAGGGAAGGAGTACAGGTAGTAGAGCACCCACAGGGACATACATCTCAAATAACTCAATTTACTGCACAGGGTGAGTAACCTCTCCTTCTTTGAGCAGTGTCCCTGTGGGTACTCTACTTCAGGTGACTCCCAAGCAGTACCGCTTTAAAAAAGGGGGAAGGGGTTGGAGCACAGTCCAATATAGGAGAGAGAACTGCGTTGTCTACAGCAGCATCTGATCGTGCTGCAGGTGCCAAGGCATAAGGATTAGAAAAGGTATGAACAGAGGACCAAGCTGCCATTCTACAGGTGTCTGCAATTGATACATGCTTAAGTAAGGCCATAGATATAAATAGGACTCTTGTTGAATCTGCTATCACTCTTGAAGGGGGTGGACATGATTTCTGATCACTTTTTTTTTAAACCACCACCATTGACACTAGTGCAGTGAGATATTATTTTCCTTCTTGTTCCTTTAGCTTGTACCAACCTACATTTATATCTACTCTAATATAGTCATCCATTTTGCCAGTGATAACCCTAGGTCTAAGCTACCTAATTTAATATCTATGGCCACCTGAACAATTTGCAAGAAGTCAATCTTAGTATTAAATTCTCCAACATGCACTGAATGCTACCTGGAGCATAGAAGAGTGCAGGCCTTTGAGGCAGTCTTGCAAGAGAGCAGGTCTTTAAATCCTACCCACCCAGAGGCAAGACTAAAGAAATCTTTTTAAAATGGGATTTTATTTTTAGGCTCTATTTATTGTGTCCTCACAATAGTGTCTGTTTTCAAAACAGTGAAGTTTAGGAGTGCCTGGAGAGATAATTTCTTGAAATTGAATTCAAAATAGGAGGTTTTCCTCCACATACTCATAGCCCCACCCACCCACCCTTTTGATAGTTGGCTTGCTGGTTCTGCCCCAGCACTGATTTTTTTAAAGTTTATATCTATTTTTAACAATTATTAGTGTAGTTTGCTGCAGTGAAGTGTCATTTTCTATCATGATGCATCAAGTGAATTTCTCTGTCATTGATGCTGTATATAAGTTATCTCCCTCTGTATAAAATTTTGGCAAATGAAAGCAACAAACAGTATACCTTGGGTAAAATTTGAAACTTGCAAAGTCACTGAGACTTAGGCTCCTATTTCACTCAGGCACTTTTGGAAAAGTTCCTCTTGTGTCAGAATAATGTTACAAAGGTACAAGCAAAATAATCAAAGCCTTTAGAAGAAAAAAATTCCATTTATAATATAAGAAATACCTCAAAGTAGAGCACATTTAAAATCAGACAATAACCAACTCAGATCTTTGTTAAGATCTTTAAGATACCTGGAATATGAATTCTATAGTATTATTGAACATCCGTTTGATACAGATGTAACTGCTATACTTACATGGTATGCTAACAATTTATTATGTTTATTAATCCAGCAGCTACCCTCCCTAAAATTCACCAAGACACTACAAAAACAAAATTTGCTGAAGAAATCATTGATGTTTTTATCCTCTATTCAATGACATTATTATCCTTAGGCCATTTTTCTGATTATAGCCAAATCAGTTATGATGACACTACTCCAGAAACCAATCCCAATTTAAATCAGAATTTTCAACTTCCAGTCAACTTTCATAATCATCATTCTTGTCAAAACCTCTACAAATGAGTTGCTGTTAAACACAGTTTGATATTGATAGTTTCATTTACTTCCAGATTTAAAATTGAGAAGGACCATTAGAAGAAGCTGTTACCCTAAAATAGCCAGTCAAAGAAACCGAACATTTCTAAAGAGAAAGCTTTTTTTCTTTTTGTGCCACTGTATGTGTTTTGCTGTTATTCCCCCTATAGCCTGGTGTTGAGCACACACCAGATAATTATAATTTTTATGTGTATTTTAACAAAGTGGAACTCTGAAGTCGTCTACAGTAAATATCCTTTCTAGGAGGCAAATGGTGGGGAAGGTAACTAGAGTTCATTGTGGAAAGCAGTGTATTAAATCCAAGTGAACTGAAGGAAAACCTCTGATTCTTTCTGTATTTTTGTTTTTTGTACTGTGTTTAATATGTTTCCTTAAGCACCTAGAAGCATATGTACATTCAAAGACATTTAAGAAAATTGCATGTAGTTTTATCTGTCACTCTATTAGAAAAAATTGTGTGTTCCATGTTATAATGGATACCTTAATTTCATAGTCCCTTCAACTATAACAGTGGCTGATGGACATATCTAAAAGTTGGCCCAGTAAAAGATACTGCCTCATCCACCTTGTCTCTAGTATCTAAAAATCAACATTTAACTCTTTACAAGAAATAAAAATGGAGACTACTGTTTTGCTTTCTACGTCCAAGTGCAGCATAGCACACAGGAAAATCAGTAAAGGGCCCTATTGGTTCATTCTGAACATCAGTTCTTCTGAAAGAGAAAAAGGTAACAATTTTCTGGTGTGGGGGGTTTTGGGTTTTTTTAACCAACTAAAATGCATACAGAGCAATTCCCCATGTGATACACATATTGCAGATTTAGAAAGCATAATTTGTTTCGTATAGTGTGCTTAGTGATAGACAAGGCACTAAGACACAGACGAGGCACTAAGACACAAAGTCCCTGTCTGAAAGAGATTGGTTTTCTTAATAGTTGTTAAACAGTATGTGAACAGGCCCTACTTTACAGTATTGCCTTAAAATGCTTTACTCCTGAAGTGGTCAAATAAAATGAAAACCATAATTTTATATTCTACCAATTAGTAAATAGCTGCTTTTGATACTTATTACTGAAAAATAGCTTTCAAGTAATGCCAATTTTTTTTTTTTGTAAATTAGAGTTCTGTTTTATAGTTTCATAGAGTTTAAAGTCAGAAGAAACCATTAGATCAAGTCTGACCTCAAATAATACTTTTAATACTACCTCCTGTGCACAAAATGCCCTCCTGGTACATGAAGCCTCTACCCCTTCACTCAGTTAAACCCCTCCTATAAAAAACGTATTCCATGACATCAAAAGAAACTAGATGACTAAATCATCTACAGTAACTCCTCACTTAAAGTCATCCTGGTTAACGTTGTTACATTGCTGATCAATTAGGGAACATGCTCGTTTAAAGTTGTGTAATGCTCCCTTCTAATGTCATTTGGCAGCCGCCTGCTTTGTCTACTGCTTGCAGGAAGAGCAGCCTGTTGCAGCTAGCTGGTGGGGGCTTGGAACCAGGGTGGACCGGCAGCCCCCTATCTATCAGCTCCCCACTCCCCTAAGTTCCCTGTGCAGCAGCTGCCTGCAGTTCAGCGGTGTCCCTCCCCCCCCGCCATGTGCGGCTCCTGCCCTCTGCCTTGGAGCTGCTCCCCGAGACTCCTGCTTGCTGTGCTGGGGGGAGGGAAGGAAGAGGGGGGCTAATGTCAGGGTGTCCCCCTCCCCCCTGCACCCTGCTTACCCCATCTTCCATAGAGCAGGGCTCAGGACGGAAGGAGCTTGCAGCAGCTGCATCTCAGCAAGCTGATCTAATTAACAAGGCAGTGTACTTAAGGGAAATGCGCCTATCTCCCTCCATTCCTTCTGCCTTGCAGAGTGTGTG